AGATGTCGACGTTTAACGTTCATGTAGTGTTCCCATAAGCGATCAATTTGTAAACCGAGACATTTTATCCAACGTTGTCTTCTCGAAAAACAAGGGAATGGTAAGAAGTCTAATTCAGCTTGTAAGAATTTTTTAGCGTTTAGATTTACATTCCATTTACGCAGCAGAGTTTCGTTGAGATGATTTTATGGATCAATAAGAATCATTAGGAGAAAATAAAATTGTCATAGAACCTCCATATGATGCAATTATCAGCGGTAGAAAGGTCTTTGCTACTTCTAGGAATGCTTCACCGTAATAATTTTTAGAACAAGATTTATTCCAAAAAAAAAGTAATCTTCGTAAATAAATTCTTTTAATTACTCTAATACAAATGAGCTAAATAGTCTCCGCAGTTTCATAAAAAGTTGAAGAGTGGCTCAACCTTAACATATTAGTTTGGGAAAAAAGAAATCCATTATTCTCATATGAACTTCAGGACTTTATTTAACATGCTTCGGATTGTCCGATTTGGGTCAAATATGCACTGTTTTGTTGTATGATTTGTTGCCATTTTAAAGGTAACTTCAAAATGCCTCTCTCATAGAAGTCCTGGTCTCTATTTGCAAAAAACTCTAGTAGTCGATTTTCACAATCCTCCCTAGATTCCAATTTTTTATCATTAAAGAAATTTTGCAATGCAAGAAAAAGATGATAATCGCTTGGTGCCAAGTCCGGACTGTATGGCGGATGCATTAAAACTTCCCACCCAAGCTCCCGAAGTTTCTGGCGAGTCACTGTAGATGTGTGTGGCCTAGCGTTGTCCTGGTGGAACACGAGACCTCTCCTGTTGGCCAATTCTGGCCGTTTCTGGTCAATCGCTATCTTCAAACGGTCCAGTTGTTGACAGTAGAGATCAGAATTTAGCGTTTGGCCATATGGAAGCAACTCATAATAAACAATCCCCTTCCAGTCCCACCAAATGCATAGCAAAACCTTCCTGGCCGTTTGAGGTGCTTCACCGCTCTTTGACCACGATCGTTTTCGCACAGGGTTATCGTATGTGATCCATTTCTCATCTCCAGTCACCATCCGTTTAAGAAATGGGTCTTTCTCATTCCGTTTGGCCAAGGCTTCGCAGATGGAAATTCGATCCATCATGTTTTTTTCTGTTAATTGGTGTGGCACACAAAAATCGAGCTTCTTTTTGAATCCAGCTTTGTGTAAATGGTTTAAAACTGTTTTATGGCTCCTGGGCGATGTTACGACTGCTAACATGCCGGTTAACTTCGATCATTTCTCCGATTTTATCGACATTTTCGACGACCGGCCTACCTGTGCGAGGTGCATCTTTAACATCAAAAAATTCCTGAACGGAATCTACGAAACCAAAATTGCACATAATTGGCTGTTACAGTATCGGAACCATAAACGCCATTCACAATCTTAGCCACCTGGCTTGCATTTTCGCCTTTGTCAAAGAAAAACTGTAAAATGTACCGAATTTTCTCTTTGTTCACTTCCATTTTTAACACGCTGTAACTCACAACTGAATGCACCAAACAAAAAACAGCAAAAGAATTTTTTTTACTGCGAAATGTCACCTTTCCAACGAGCATAAATATGAAATTGTTTGATCGATACTTTACGAGAAATCTATCAGTGCAGCCATCTACCGAAAAAATAATATTTTATTATTTAGTTTTCTACCTTCTTTGATATCAGCGACCGACATCCGCCTAAGTTAACCAATCCAAGGGATCCAACGCGACGTCTAGGCAATATAATATTGGTTTTCTATTTGAAGTTACAGTTTTTATTATGCCGAAAAGTTTCTTTTACACGAAAGAGAAAATGTTCAGCTTTCTGCATGTCATTTCTAACCCTACCTCTTACAGAAACAATTCGGCTTGTCGATTGCATGGGATGTTTGGTTGCTTTCACTTGCGTTGATGTTGGCCAGGAAATTGTTGATTTGTTCATTTCTTCTTCCAATTAAACGTAAACGTAGATTCTTCAAACACTATTAAAGTTCCATGCTATTGTCTTCTTTACCTACTCTTATTTCTGACTATTCGTCTAACACTAACGTAGTTATTATGATGTCCAGACTCAATAAAATTTCTACGATTAGATATAGATCCAGCTTCATGAGTTAGACTTGCAAAATCCTTTACTGCATTTCCAAGTTCTGTAATCTTCAATTAAGTTACACATTTTTGTCGATCCATGTCCACACATGTCAGTATCGCTTTTATGACTGATAACGTTACATTTTACAGGGGGATATGCGAAAAGTTATCAGAGTGATCAGAACGTACATCGTTCCTGTTGTAAATACAAAATAATTCACAATCACTTTTTCCACTTCATCTGGATAGTTTAGAGACTAGGAGGTTCATCACATTAAATGAGTGTTGGACGGAGTTAAGACGACACACAACCTGCTTTTAAGTGAAATCTTCAACTACAGAAGAACAGTTAGGATACCCTACAGTGTTTGGTAAGAGTGTAACTGTTATTAACCTTATCAGTATTATGTCTAACTGATTCTAATCAAGATCAAGATCAAGAATGTATATACATTATAGGTTCTATAATGTGTATAAATATGCGCACATCTACGTACTTATGCAATGTGAATATAACGTATACTTTTCTTTACTAGACGAAAAAATATCGCTCAAATTCGTGGTAACCAATAATAAGCAGAGAAGAAGATTTCTATTCATTCCTATTCCTGCTATAGTTTCATTGTGACTTTTTTCAAAAATGTGAAACTGAAAGCCGCATTAGATGCCATACTTTTGTAACGTTTATAAGTAATGAGCTGCGCAACTTTGTGATCATTAACTTGTAAGCGACACTTTCCTTTCACGTTTCCCATCGAAATGGTGCCGATTACTCGAAAATGTTTGCAAAACACTTGCAATGAAATTTTTCTAGTGCTGATCCCGATACACATACCAAAGCATAAACCCTTTTCGATTCTATGCACCATCATTCCAGAAAATGGCGTGTTACGAGATTTAAGATCACTGAAATATAGTTGCGCATACTCAAATCATGCTGCAATAAGCTATGTAGAGTTATCTCAAGAATTTTCAATCATTTTCTGAAAGGTGGTGGTGTTTTACCTTTTTGTTGAAAGAGACAAGAGCCAAGTTGAGCGACCTTACTACATTTGCACGAATTGTTACTCAACAATTAGTTTTCGCTATCAAATCTCATGTGCCTCCATTTCGACAAGGCTTTCTAAATGGAAGATCAACCGTTACGAACCTATTAAAGTTTGCTATCTGTTCAAGCTTTTCTCTAGTGGCTCTTGCACGTATGTTGTATACATTGATTTTAGTAAACTTTTGGCCTAAGTTATTCATCTTTTATTTATTTTCTTAAGCGCAGTCATATCTGAATGTACGCTGACGATGTTAAATTGTTTTCTTTTTTTATCCTGGAATCTCGTACTTCTCTTATCTCCTTCAATCTGAGTTCGATAATTTGATTACGTGGTACTCACTAAATTGTATACACTTTAAAAATACCCAACTTTAACTTTAAAAATACCCAAAAGCTTTCATTCTCATGGAGGAATTCACTCAATACTGGGGATTACAATGACTCACTAAAGTTAAGAAATGTAGATTCGCTCATTGATTTATTTTATTCAACCGAAGACTGCGTTTTACATTGGTCTGCTCATTAATGAAGCTCGATTAGAGCAATGGTCCAAAGAGCCCAATTACGCACATGTTACAAAAAGGCTGTACATGAGCTTAGTGAGACCAATACCTGAGTGGTATCACTAACTCGTCAGCATTGCTAGGGAAAATAAACTTCAATGTTCCTTCTGCCTTTGTGACGTGTGCAAAGACCTGTTAATATTAAACGAACAAATTTCTTTTCAAACGTTAGGTAAATTCCATTACAGCGGACGTCATCAGCCTAATATTAAACTTAAAAGGCTATTATACATAATCTGGCGAACGAGACCAAGCATTTCACGTCTTTTCTCAAAGGGAAGCAGACTGAAATGAATTTTAATCAAGATGGAAAGTTTCAAAATCGACAACAGTACATATATTTTTTTAGCGCAAACATCAGAAAAACATCAGAAAATTTTATTGGATGTGAATAGTTTTCAAATTCCGTATTTGATGCTTGCTCAGTAGACTTTACCAAAAAAATTTGCAAATGTAATAGACGTCACAGACGCGTCCGGAGAAATCCTTCCACTTTACGATCAGAGTTTACGAATTTAAAGAAGTGACAGTTGCAGTGATGTTAGGGAATTATAATACCAATTAGCGCTATGCTATCATACTACAAACTATGGCCCGCAAGTAAATCAAAACGTTCGTACTTCTTCAATAGCCGGCTTTTCCTATTGTGGGCCATTCTTAAAAGCTTAGTAAACAGAGAGGGAAATTAGCGGAAGCACGAATGCTTTAAAAAGCTAAATGTGAACTGTGTGCCTCTTGTTAGTCTAAATCCTAAATCATTTCCAATGTATGCCGATCATTATTAACTTTTTATTTACAATTCTTCATCTTGCGATCCATTTAGCGTAAGCAATAACGACGAGTGTAAAATACTTTCAGACGAAATGAAGGGATCAGCGCAAAATAAAGATAAAGTAGTATCCCAACTAGTTTACTACCAGTCACTAGTGTGGAAGCTTATCATTTAAGCTTATCAATTAAAATAGAGTTATAATAAAAGAGACTTAGGTTAGGACATCAAAAATCCGTATTAGCGGATATCAGAAGGGCGCATAATATACCGACAACACCGTTGAAAACCCATGAAAATTTGACCGATTAACATTATCAAGACCCAAGTTGCCACCGAATAAAATGGCATTTCCCCTCACTATTTTTATGTATCACTTAGATTAGTTGTTGTATTTCTTCGTTTTGATAATTTCGGTTTGCATTGTTATTGAACACAGGCAGATTAATGATATGTTAATGAGTTCTTATTTCTACAAGTAACTTTTTCGCTCTATATTCTATTTTTAGCTCATACGAAAAATTTCATCTAAACAAATTTATTTGAAGCGTTTGGAAGAGGAAGCTGTAACGCCGAGAAATGAGGGCTGTTTAATTGATTGTTCACATTCTTCGAAAGACGAAAAAATTTGTTCCAACAAAGTAAAAGCAAAATATCTTTCTATACCTACTTTTGCTAGTTCCAAAGAGTTGGATGGTGAAGTGAAGGAAGGTAGGGATCGCGGCTGTCTTTCTAAACACAACGGCGAGGACTACAATAGCAAGACGGAAACTTTTAAAAACGTCGCAGAGGGGCGGAGGGGTAAAAGTTCACCACATGTAAGTGAGACCGCCTCTGCAATAATACAAGCAGATATGGAGCGCATTGATAAAGATCTTAAAGAAAGTATTCTGTTTGAAGATGACAAGCAGCTAGATGTAATATTTGAAAAGATTAATTACAAACAAAATGTACGCTACCTTCGTCATACACCGTCCTCAACAAGTTTGGATAATAATAATTTAAATTATGCCGCCGATGATGATCACACTGATGAGAGCTATAGACCTTGCACTGTTTCCCCTATTACTAATAATGAGCAATCCTTACGAATGCGTGACGATCTAATTTTGAGCACCGTGGGCAAACGACAAAATAATAGCTTTCTCCCGGTTAATGTAACCTTAGGTTCAAAACAAGTAGATAACTATCAAGAGCTTGTCATCACCGAAGAGCCTGACTATTTTCTGAAAATGACAGCGGTTGTAAAATATGACATTAACGGTAATTCTTTGGAGGATGAAACCCAATGGAATACCTACGAACAAGCTAAAAATTATCAACATCACTTTTCCAATGGCCAATGGAAAGGAAATTGCGCATATTTTTTGAATGATTCACCGAAATCAAGTTTTCATTCCAGTTCTACAACTATAGAAACGTGGATAGAAGAAGAAGAAGACGAGTTGTAGATACGATGTTACTAGGTGAACAACCATTTTGTTCATATCGTAAGAAACATTGCCTTAATAAATAACTAAAACCTTTTAACTAAAAATCACTTTGAAAGCCAATTAAAAAAGAAAAATGTTATGTCTTATAAATTTGTTATAGCAAAGAATCGGTAAGTTAATGTATGCCTAAAGGAAACCCTCTATACACTTTCAATATATATAAAATAATTCACAAAAACCTACAACTTCGTATCCAAAGAAACTCTTTAAGCTAGAAATGAGTTTTAATATTACTCTTCGGCAGAAGACCGAAGATCTTCACAAAAAGCTGGGAATTAGAAATATTGCTTAATTTTGCATAGAAAATTACGATGTGGAAGAATACGGTAAACAGGTTTTGTAAAAAAATTTTTTTATTGTTCTTACAGTAATAATGATGTAGTGGTATATATAATTTTCAATCCACTTTTACTACGAAACGAAAAAAAGATCTCAGCGTTCTTTAAATATTTTAATTACATTTTTTAAGTGCTCATATGCGATTTGCAGCCTCGTTATCTAATATAAAATCGTTACCTTCAAATCTATACATTTTACTTTTCAATAACAATCAAAATCATTAAAAAACAAAGTAATAAAAATATTGTTTCTTTTCCCATTTTGTTTTGTTACATAAAAGCAAGAAACACGAACAAAACCAATGGACACAATACCAAACGGCACGTGGATAATTGTAGTAGTATGTTTATAGCCTTTAATAATTTGCATTACCTATGTACGTATCAAAGAAAAAATTTTATTAAAATATTGTTGTTGTTTTTCTAGAATAGACTTCAAGAAAGCGAATTTCCAACTCGGACTTTTTTCGGTTCTTCCAACGGCGTTTCGCACGTGCTTTGCATGCGTGAGAAACATCTACGCAATGCATTTCCCACGAAATTGGTGCCCTACATCACTTTTGGGTGGTTTCTGTTTTTATTAATGTGCTTATGTCTACATATATATCATTGTATGTATGTCTTCGCTTACATATAAATGTACATCTAGTGCTTAACGCCGTTGTCCTTGCTTTGTTAAGGATTTGATATCTCGCTCCACACAACCACGGCAACGACGAGGGTGAGTTTTCATTTCACACGAAAATCTAATTGTTAATGTTTTCATTGTTTGGTTGTTCTTAACTGTTGATTCCTATTTTCATTGTTAGTGGAACTGACAACTTCACAGTGAGGTTTATTACGAAATCGTGGTAAAATTTATTAAATACGATATCTAGTAAAAGAAGATGTGAAATATAAGGTCTTCAGTAAAGGAAGTTAGAAATGAAACTTTTTCTCTCAAGCAAGCAGACCGTATTGCTCGTAGTGTCCTTACGCTTAAAAAAATATTGTAAGTAGGATTGTGTCTTATTAACCGAATCGCCCCAATATGTATATTATTCACCGTATTCAGAAGTGATTCTGGCTTTCTTTCGTTCAAAAGGAGGGAGGAGGGCAGGGAGGGAAAGACAGGTAATATGTTATTAAACTAAAAAACATTAATCGCATTATATTCTGCTGTTCCGCTGTTACAATGATATTTAGCTAATCGCGTACGGCGACCGCTTCGGCATTTTTACGCTTTTATAATAGTTATTCGTTTTCAGAACGCAACGTCAAATCGGTTCATATCTTTATAAGCAGCTCCTGAATCTAACTGGCAGGTGTTTTGTGTTAACTTAAATATTGTGTGTTTTCTAAAATTCCAGTACTTTTCATTAAGTCTTCTGTACATTTGGATACGCCTAAGTTTTGTAACCCCTTCAATCTTGAAGTTTATAAATAAACTACATATAATATTTTTTTATTCGACGCTAATAATATAAAGTTACGTTTTGCCTCTAAACCATAAATTAATTTATTAAGTTTCGTAGAATTTCTTTCTGATTATCTCTCATTTTGTTCTAATAGTTTAATTCCTTAATCTAATTACTAAGTGCAATATTTTCCATTAACTACAACCACATGCGTATCATGAATGAAAAATTCTGCATAAAAAAGCCGACACCTTTACATGTTTTATATAGGCTTTTAATGACATAGTGCAGTTAATATATGTTTTTACTTTTTTTTCTAAACTACGCTTATTCTGTTGTATGTGGTGAATTCGTTTTCGGCTTTTTAGAAAATATTCACGAGATGAAAATTATAGATGAAAACTTGAAAATTTTGCCGGTGTTTTCCGAAATTGTTTGTTTCTTCTGCATTGTCGGTATATATAAGAGCAGATCAAGCCCATTTTCCCGCAGATTTCAGCTCCTGCTTTCAGTTTTCCGGTTCTTACGATTCAAAAAATGTACCAGTCAAATTGACGGGTTTTCATAAATATAGTTATGTACAGAACGTCTGTAAATCTAGTCCCAAGTAAGTTATAAACATTTTATAGCATCGGATTATTTCTTTGATTGGTATGAATAAAGCCACACATTTTCTTTTTTTAATTAATTTAACATTATCTACTAGTGGTCATTATTTAAAGTTGAATATTGACAATTTTCAAGTATATTTTTAAAGATATTCTATTTTTTAATTCATGCGCTCTCGTTCACATGCAAGTGCTTTTAGTTACATTCGCTTGCGTACATGGATTTTGCTTTTAAAGCAATTAAATTAACAGTCTACGCTTTCCGCTTGGGGCCAGTTTAAGCGACCATCAACGGTCATCCACTTTAATCCTGCAACTACTTTGTTATATATATAGATATATATAAAATTAATTATTACAGCACTGAAAGTTGTTATTAAATCAACCCATTAAAAGTTTTTATGTTTCAATTTGTTTTTTAATCTATTTTTTTAAAAATCCGTTTTTACACTGTCTAGAATGCAACATTTGAACTAAAGGTAAAACTTATAAAAATTATTTTTAGTTAACAATTTCTGCATGTACTTTAATTATACTATTGTACAGTTAATTGATGAGTTTTGTGTAGCAGGCTCTTCGACCGGTTTGCTGTCTTGTTTATTAAGTAAATCTCACAGCCCCGGTTTTCCAGTTTGCTGTTCCCTATGAAGGACTTTTTGATCTAACCCCTTAGACTTAAGAGCATTAATGTCGAATAGTACATATATAAGAGCATTAATCCCGAATAGTACATATGTATCGTACGTCGTTGAGATCATCAATGTACAAGGCTGTTAAGTTATGGAACTCGTTACCACTTGATATCGAGGCTATTGTTAGTGTGTTTCGGACCAGCGCAGCAATCGGGAAATTTTATAATCCTTCGTGCAATGAGTAGTTATGTAATTAAGTCGAGTTTCTTCAGCAGACAAAGTATTTTAGAAAATTAGGCTATGGAGAGTTTCTCCATTCACTGACCGTTGTTAGACACTGCCTACGGCGGTATTTGAAGCATCAACCATTCTAAATAGATTAACCTCATTGTTAAAAAGATTTAATAAAATCTTTGAGACCAAAGCATCTTTAATGTGCTCAAACGATTTTATGACGTCGCCATCCCATATCAAAATTTAACCCGTTGATTTGTCTGCTTTATTAAGACCATCATGAATCACACCTGCAAACTTCGCTCATTTAGGAACAGATTTCAGATGATCGAAGTCTTCAATAACAATAACTCTGTCCTGAGGAAGTTGGCATTAATGTTTGATGCTTCGAAAATATGTTTATTCGGTTTAATGCTCTGCCAACCAAAACATCCTAGATATACACAAATGTAAAGCTTATGTAGAGAAGTTTTAAGGCTCCGATTGGTATCATGAACGTGGGGTAACGGATAGTGATCAGGGATGGTCACACAATTTAATCGTCTAAAATTTCCTGTAGGGGCGAATTTCACTTTGGTCCTTTTTGACAACTGAAAACGGAGAGGCCGCAGATGAACTAGATGGTCTACTTACGAATTGTTGTTGTCAATGTTTAGGAAAAAAATATATTTTTATTTTTTTAACATTCTACAATCAGCTTCAGAACAGAATATCAATTCTATACATTACTTTATTAATACTACTAAGCTCATTATCTAATGTACATTTTATTATCCTTTTTTTTAATTAAAGCCGATAGCCTGTGTTGCTAGTGCTCAATGTCTTTCTTTTAGTCTAAGAATTCATTTCATTAGTCTAAAATTAAAATAATAATAATAATAATAAATATGTTTATTTTATGTTTTGACAATTTTCGAACAAACACTCTATTAAAATTGACAAATAATAAAATAAAAAAAATTTTTTAAATGTTTTTTCTTCACTTACCTATTTTTGACACTTTTTCTGTTCGTCATTCCCAGAATAGTGGAATTACTTTCTCAAGTGATGATGGCTTTTAAATCTTTGACGTAACGAGGTAGGTGCACATGACGCCTGCAGTAATGTTATATTCTTAATATTACAAAAGAAAAAAAAAGCGTGTTTTTGGAAGCACCAACTAATTTTAAAATCAGCGTCAAATAATTTTTTTCTAAGGATACACTATTTTTTTTTTAGATTTCTTTTGTTCTCTAAAGAATTTGGTTTTTGTTATACATATTATAACTTTACGACTATATCGTTTTGCTCAATATTATTATCAATTATTTCTTGATGTTTGACCAGCGAGTGTCCTTAGTAATCAGTTAACCTACGTACGACAGCCCAATAAAGTCTACATACATTACAAAATATTAAGATTTATCTTATTAATCGGTACAGGTCTAAAATCTATATTTCTTAAGAAAAAAAACTTATGTTAAATAATATCTCCAAATTTTTTTTGACTTTACATAAATTTAAAGACAAAAAATATACCTCAATCTCACAAAAAAAATGCAAAATGTGTGCATATAGCATGTTTCACAAATAGTTTCATATACTGTTTTTGAATTGTCATGAGGCGCATCCCAAAAACGTATCAAACCTTCTATCGTTCTACCGTTGATAATAAATTTTGGATTGCTATCGCTGCATCGCTGTATTGGGTTTCCTCAGTACTTTTTATTTACTATCGTATCCGAATATGTTAAACTTGAACTTGGCACC